CAGAAACAATAAGTTTTTGACGCGAAAAACGTAACAAATACTTTTATATGCGTAAAAAATAGTTTTCTAACAGTAACAAATAGTTTTATACGCGTAAAAAATAGTTTTCTACCAGTAACAAATAGTTTTATACGCGTAAAAAATAGTTTATTACGTGTAACAGTTTTATTCGCGTAAAATAATAAAAATAGTTTTTTACGTGTAACAAATTTTTTTTACATGTAATTTTGATTCACTTTTACAAAATTTGTATTATATTTTTGATAAACACGTGTACTGATCACAAATACACGTCGCGTCACTACGTATTTCTAAGCCGTTAACACGTTTCGTTACAACGAGCTTGTGTGTCAAGGCTTTACTCCCAGAGGGCGTAAAGAAGTTTTACTCCAAAATGTTTCATAAATCATGTCCTAAAATTGCATTAGCAACTAGAAATATTTACTATTCTATTATATAATTATAATTATTTATTATATTATATTATGACAAGTACTAACCACAACACTACAATATAAAAAACTATACACATATAAACTAAAATTCGTAATATAAATGGCAAATAATAATTATTATTTTTACACACACCACTGGCACTAGCAGTATATTGTGTTTGTCTACGAATATATGCCCCGGCCCGTCCACAATTCAATCCCAGCATCTTTTATCTTCGTCTTTTCAACGCTAACGGCGCCGATCTCGCCTATCTCTTTCTCACAGGATTGATTGTTGGACGGGCCGGGAATCCACGAGCTTGCGACGTTACTAATTGACATCTTGATAGAAACTGCAAACCTGTCGCGTCTTTTGCGTGTTTTTAATGGACAGAAATCGATAAAAGCGCTTAAAACGGTAAAATCGCAAAAAGCGCTTGAGACGCAAAAAACGCAAAACGCTAAAAACGCTTTCTGTGTGGCCGTGGACTAAGTGTGAAGATAAATAATGAACAGGGAGGAAAAAACGATGATTTGAATATTCTTCTTCATGTTGAAGAAAATAAAAGTATTAGCTTCCGTTTGGTAGGGGGGCAGTAGAAAAAGGCTACAGCACTATTCTTCGGACACGTCCGATTATTAGTTATTACAAGATATTGAGTGTGCTCTAGAAGAAGTCTTCCATGAAGTTTCCACAAGCACATTTCCTTATATTTTACAATATTTGCAGGATGCGTTCGAAGGAAACGTTGTTGGGCTATATCACACCATTAATAATTGGTCTGCAAGGTCCCCGATCTTTCGTTGTCTCTCTGACCTTTCGTTATTGTGGATGTATGTGGTATTTGCGAGGCCAAAAGAGTGACTCAGTAATAAATATTAAAAAAATCATGCATCGAGAATACTATTCTCAACTTCTCAACAATTCTTCTGTAGACGCTTTTTCCAATTTAGAAAAGAAAATAACCAGCCTTTCCAAACTACATAAATTCTTGTAAACCAAATGAGACATCGAATTTGACAACGACAAAATCATATTTTTGCTGATATTCTAACTGTAGCTTTCCCTGGGTTGTATTATAAATTTTACTAATTTCAAATTCTAAAAATAAAATTAAACAAGTAAATATTTTAATATCTTCAGAAGGTCTAACTTTGTTTACTCACTAGGGCACTTTGTTGACTCACTAGTTTCGTCGAACTGCTTGAATCCATTTTCGCTTTTGATCAAATCGGGGTGAGAAGCTGTGAAGCTATAAAATGTTGTTTCTGAAGAGTTGAATATCCGGGAAAGTTGAGTTATTGAATGTCCTCAAGTTCCTTTAAGCGTTAACATTTTTTCGGCAATTTTATTAAGATTTGAAATTGTCAGAACACAACGTGATGCCTAGTTCCGATTCTTTTTCACTTAATTTTTATTACCAGAAACAGCGTTACATCACACAAATCTCGTAGCCCAGTGTTTTATAGTTTCAAAATAACTGCACTAGTAAAAATTAAAATACTTAAATTTTATGACAAAGCCACTATTTTAATATTATTTCAATGCGATAGACATAAACGGTAACGGGACTGCGTGTAATACTTCAGTCGGGCACATTTTAATTTCTGCCGTATCAAGCGCTGCGGTCGGAATTTTTAAAACCAACTGAAATGCACCAAGCCTATAACTTGCAGACTGAAGATTGACTTGGAAATCTTTTATTCTTGAAGCTACCGTATGATCGAAAAGAAATGGCGTCCAGTTGGCTTGGAAATGACGATCGATGACATTTCCCATATAATTTTACATATAAAATGACAGCGATCTTCATTTCATAGCCATCGCTGACGCCGTTTTTATTCGATCATACGGTATTTCTTATATAATAACGAAATATTAAGTTTTTTTCTATATTTTTTAATTGTATATTTTAAAATATATGCCATAAAAAATAGTTTATTTTTTGTGACGGATAATTTATTTCATCACTAGTTTTGACAGAATTCTGCGTGGAAGAATTTCAAAAAATAAGTTTTGTGGCAAAAACTAAGGTAATACCGTGGCTCTGTGTGGCATTACCTCACGACCCGCTAATGGTTGAAAGGATGGTGAGGAGAGAATTCCTATTTCTATATTTGTTCTCGGGGACGGCCAGAAAATATGCTAAGAGACACACGAGACATGTATGTCTCACGATTAATTTTCTGTATTATAAATAGGTATATTTGCCTGTGGTTTAAGTAAATTATCATAGAAATCAGTAAAATTAACTGATTTGAAATTAATATTAAACAGTTCCACTTATTCATATTTTTTTCTGTCTGCTTATATGACCTAGTACCAAATTATCAATTTTGTTATTTCAGATAGCTAAACCGTGCCAAATAAATTTATGTGAAGCCGGTAAAGTATATACAACTATATGTATATGTATGTCTAGATAGTGGTAAATCTTGTTGCTGTAAATGGCAGCATTCCTGCAATTTTATCACTGCTTCATGGGTGGTACCTGATTTAACTAAGACAACCATATACAGGGTGTTTCCGTCGTTTAACTGCCAATCTGAACAATGAGGAAGGTCTGAACAAGGAGAAAATTATTTCCAGTAAAATAAACGTCTTTTTTTTGGAATATCTAATAATTTATTTTAATTCTTTCAAAGTCTTATTACTTACTTATTTTTACTTATTTTTTTTTTTATTTTATATTTGCAGCTGTGGAGAAAATGTATACTTAATTTTTATGTGTACTAAAGCCATACGCTAAATAAATAAATTTACCTTTTTATTTATTGTAATGTCATGGATGTTTACCAGTTAGGTGTGTATAATATTGTTTTATTTACGCGTGTTATATTAAAGTCAACCATTAGGAAGATATGTATTGAATATAAAGATAGAAAAATATTGTTTTTTACTCATTTATTTTTTATTTAAAAAACGAAAATCTATAGATTAATTAAATTTAAATTATCAAGATTACTATTTAGAAAGTAGGCTATTTTTGAAAGAAAATTTGACATTAGTACAAAGTAAAACTGTTTGAAAGCAGCTAACTAGAATGTAGACTGCTTGGGAGGGGGTTTAATTACTGCGACCTTTCAATAATTCTATTGTGTGCCCCTTTCTTGAGTTATAATGAGTTATAATAAATAAAATAAAATAGTCTCAGGGCTTTGACATAAGTCAGTATCTGAGGCGGCTTCACAGAGGTTAGTTCTCCATCTCCGGTATCAGTCGAAACAAAGTTTATGGCACGAATGGTTGTCATCTCGACGCACTCAGTGATGAGGTGTTTTGGGTTGGTTTCCTCATATCCCCCACAGAATCTGTATTCGCCGTTGTTTCGTAGATTCAATTTACTGAGTTGTTCGTTGGTTCGTTGAGGAGACAGTGTTTTGTTAGAAACCCAGTGACAATCCTAAGATTGTTCTTACTAAAATCAAGGAAAATCTTTGATTTTTCTTGGTCGTAAGTTCTGAGAAATTTCTTCGAGTGTCTTAAACCGTTGGACGATTCCCATTTCACGTTACGGATGGAGTCTTCCAAGTTATTGAGTTCCGCTTTAAGTTGGTTTTCACTTGGGAAGCAGAACGGTTGGTTGGGGCTCCTTTTCTAGCTGGATCGTTTTCTTTTTTATTGCCTTCTATCCCTTGCTGAGCTGGCATCTAGAGTAGGAGAACTTTATTTTCTTTGCTTATTTATTCAGCTTCTCTAGGCATTCTTTGAGCAACTTCGATTTGAGTGTAACTGAGTTGATTGCTTTTACTGCTTCTTGACAATCGGATAAGTTGGTTATTTCCTGTTTCCGATAGTTCCTATTTAAGATAAGTTGTGTATTTAAGATGAGTCACGAAAAGGCAGATTAAATGGCCAAACAAGGCTCATCAATGCTTTTCGTAGACCCAGAACCCTTTTGCGGCGTTGCAAAAGCGATCACAATAATGGCCACAGAACAGTGGGCGCATGGCAAACAAATCTCTAAAATGATGGAGAAATTCACCAGCACAGAGATAGGTAAACATATTCATAGAAGAAGATTTGCCCAAAGTTATGGCAGACGTGATAAGCAAGGTCAGAAAGACTGTAGTGGTCTGTAGATCTGTAGTAGGTTTACTAACAGGACATTGTAGGTTTAATAACGCTGATGAACGGATTGACGGACGAAGCCACGTGCAGATTTTGTCAATCTGAAAAAGAAACGACAGAACAAATTATATGTCAGTGCGACAGGCAATGTTCGGTTCCTGACAATGAGTGTTTCTAATAGGCAATTATAGACTATTGACAAAGAACTATATGGAAGGTTGAGTCTCCAAGTTCGCTAGATTTTTTGAAACTGGAAGCTGAGGAATGTTACCTCTAGATCAGAAGAGGGCCACAATAGATCTGAAAAGGTCCAAATAAAACAGGCCGATACCCACCTCAAAAATCTAATCTAATTTTTTATTTTTATTTTTTAAATCGTTTGCATTCGTTTTGAAACATCCTGTATATTATTTTAATATAACTCAATACATTTCTATTTCTTTGTATATTTTAATATGAAGAGGAAAACAGCTACATATTATATTTATCACGTTTTCATTGAAAAATTGAGCGTGATATTATGTCTTATTAAATATTGAAACATACCCGTTGTAATTATTGTTATGCTCTGTTTATACAGACCAATATTGTCTCGAACACATAATATATCTTATATAAATAATTGTTGAAGGCAAATTTACAATATTTATTTTCACTGTCATTTTTGATTTATCGGTTACTGATATATATCTGTGCACTTGTGAGGATAATGAAATTCACTGCAGCTTCGTATGTATGCAGGAGATTTACGGTTTGTAAGTAAATTAATTCAGCTTGTTTTATCCACAGAGCATCCACAGAGTGATCTAAAAACAAATAAATTTTGATACATAAATACATTTTTAATTAAATCGATATACAGAGGTGATTATTTAGCCGAAGGTCCATTAACTTTTAATTCGAAATTGTTTTATTATAATGTTCAGCAATATTGGTATTTTCTTGCTAAAAGTAAATCTTTTTATTTTTTTTTAAATTGAAATTGGTTAAGAGGTTTTCTAGAAGAGTAAAACTATTGACTGTTACTTCTACCTGGAGGTGTTCTTAGTAGGTTTATATATTCTCTTGGAAATATTTGTTATTTTTAAGAAAATATAATAACCTACCGTAAACCGGGGTAAGTTTGGTACGATTTTTACGGTTTTTCGTTGATATATTCCTTGATATATGAAATATTTAAATGTAAGCAGTGTCATTTAACTTCATTATTATAACACAAAAATTAGCCAAAATATATGAAATCAAAATTGTAAGCAGTACTTTATTTATTACATTTTTATATTGTTCTAAAGTATCCTCGTTGGGGGTAACTTTGGGACAGAAAAATTTTACACGTAAATAACCGTAAAGAAGCGTTTTGTATCAAAGAAGGACACATACACACAACAATAAATTATATAAATAATACCTTTGCGGGGTGCTCATTTCTTGAAAATACTTTAGGTTATTTCGCCACTAGAAGAAAATCTACAAAATAATAAAGTTATTTTTTTATTGATTTTTAAGAAACAGATTACGGCTATTTTATAAATATTCCCCAATTCCGTTATAGTTAATTTTAGACAAAAAGTTTTCAGATAAAAGTGGTAGATAATTACCGCCTTAATGAGACTGTCTCCTGCGTTTTTTTAAACCTGTAATTTTTGATATAGTATCTGAAAACATTTTGCTTAAAATCGATTAAATGGAATTAAAGAATATTTTTAAAATAGCCGCGAAATGTGTCTATTTCAAAATATCTAGTAAGCCATAAACTTTTTCCAAAAATCCAAAAGGCTCATAAATTTAGCCTCACAAAACTGCAATTCTTTCCATATTTCACCGACTCTCTAGCATCAGTAGTTTTCGAAATACTCAGTGGAAATACCCATAAAGAAAATCGAAAAAGAAACTCACCCTATACCCTGGGAACTGGCAAGCGAAACCTTGAGTCGGTGTTTACATGACTAGGAGTGAATCGGTATGGCTATCTCGTAAGCTTAAGAACATTATGGAGCGACGAGGATAGCGGCGGCGAGCCAGCAGCGCGACATCGCGTCCAAAACAAACCTGTGAAGTCAAGTACGTGTGAACATAGTAAAGCGATCTGCTCGAGCGGCGCGTTCGATTCAAATAATTTTGTTTTCGTCGCTCTGTCGCGCTGTAGAAAATGATGGATTCCCAAAAATTAATAGATTTAGTATTTGTAAGAGGGATTTTATGGGATCAGAAAGATAGTAATCACCATAACGGGTACATTTTAGATAAGTTATGAGATGAAGTGGCAACAAAAACAAATTTTCGTAAATGTTATAGAACCTGCCACACACTCTCCGGATTTTGAAAATTTCATATACACTACACCTTCTGGTTTGTTGGTTTCGAATCAACCAAATGTTTGCAACATTACTGCCCAGAATTTTAGCCACTGTTGAGATTTTAATTATCAATAAGCAAATGAAAATAATAAATTTGCAAGTACCTCGCTATTCCTCGCCGCTCTACTATGTTTCAGCATCTCGAGGCTTGCTCAACGCGGTATCGCGCTGCTTGTTCGCCGCTATCCTCGTCGCTCCACTATGTTCTTAGCCTAAGTCGGAGAGAAAAAAAATCGTAACGTACACACAAGTATTCGAAACGTACCCAGCCACTTAATGCGACACTGGATTTCATGGCCTTGGGAAAATACTTACTCTTCTTTCTTTGTTTAGTACATCTTATTTTAATGAGCGTATTGAACGTATTCTTCGTACACACGAAAATCAGCACCCAAGGTCAGAAATGCCGACCCGGTATAAGCTCAGCGTTCAGCAATTTTAGGATTTATTCTAATATAGAGTAGATAACAGTGATATATCTGATATAAAGACAAAGTATCCAAAATTCGTAGTAAAATTTTTATTTTAGTTTCACTAAACACTTCTTAATCTGTCGCTAGTAATGAAAAGCATCCGTACTTGGTATTTAATATACTATTAATCTTGGATTAATTCCTACTGATGAACTAATGATTTTTCATTTTTTATGACACTGTTTAATACACACAAAATACCAAATCTACGGACTAAAAATATAAACGAATTGAAAAAAAAAAAATTAAGCAAACAATACAAACAAATGGCCATCTCCTCAGCTCTCGTCGAAAGCATTTTTTACGATTGGTATTTAAGATAAAGCGTTATAAATAACTTTTTATCGGACATTTTAAAAGGAATCAATAATAATATCGCAGAAAATGTCTCTTAATTCGGCGCACGTCGCGTCGTGAAGTTTGGCATGTATTTTCGACTGCAGCTCTTCAATTTTTTTTGAGCGCCCAGGTTGGTTATTTTCTGTTTATTTGACTTCTCAGCTGATAAAAATATAATCAGATGTGAAGTCATGTATATTCAGTCATTTTTGACCAGAGTATTTTGTCTAAGTTACCTACATATGCTGCAGCGCTCTTATAAAAAAATACATAACAGCCGTACTCCGCTACACGAGTATTCTACACACATAAAGAAGATGGTTCACGCAAGGCGTTTTCCTTTCATGAGCTTCTTCTGTGTTTTTCATGTTATCTGCCTACCGCACTCCGTACATTTAAAAATCTCATGCTTTGTTGCCTCTTTACTTTTTAGTGCCGCTGTTTGTTAAACTGAGTTTACAACCTTTCTCCATTGAGTTCTATTGTGAGCTGCTGTTTTCCCACTCATTCTGGATGTTAATTCCCTTTAAATTTTCGTGCAAAATGTCCTTGTACCTTATCAGTTGTCCATTTCCGGCCTCCTCTTAACCGTTACAGGCTCACCGTAAAGCAGAGATTTTGGCATGCGGTTTTCTTGCATTCTGCATAAACGTGACCAGCCATCTTAAGCAGTGGTTTCGATTTTCGCTGGTACGAATGATAACTATCCAATCAACAGTTCCATACCATACTAATTCTTACGTAGGAAAACTCTTTACTAGAATGAATGTTGGGCGGATAAGTTTAATGCGTCGCTCGCGCTGACCTCGTGTAACAACTGCTCACGAATTATCAATTTTCAATATGCTGATACGCTGAGCTAGGCTTCACTAGCAGTCAACAGGTTACAAACTTGATCTTCGTACTATATAGAATAACGTTTTAAAGCGGTGTGTTAGAGCAAATCCGGCCTTCACAAGTTCCTCCTTTCCATCTCTTCACTATCTCACAGTCTTGTAAAATGTTTCATGTCTACTGCACTGTAGAAAACGCTCCACAACTTATGGAGAAACCCTTTCCCGGCACACATGGAACGATCCTCCAGGACTCACGTGTTATTCCTCTGGCGGCAAGATAGATAGGCAACACAACATGCAACCTCACAGGGAACTGTTGCGTTGGGCTTGTATAATAATTGGGTTTTAGACTCTCTCGAGTAAACCAAAAATACGATAAACACGCTATTCATACGCGACTTCAGCTTCCCGGAAAAAAGGTTTCTTGTTGACTGATCGCATACGGCTGGCAGTAATATACGCCCTGTACGTAGTGAGAATTGTTATTGTTCTACTGTGTTATATTATAGTGGTATGGCTTACTGTGCTATCCTTGATTTAGTACTATGGTTTAACGTTCGAAAATTTTTACCAAGTAGCGATTTCTTATATGTTTTTGTCGTATTAGATTCAAGAGGTCAACTTTCACTACGTAAAAGCCTATGAACTATGCCAAGATTTTAAATATCTTAATATCAATAGTTTTTTTTTTTAGAGGTATTTTCATTTAAGATGTACGACAAACATTTATATACGATGATAAGGTAATTACTAGAACAAACTTCGTTTTTATCTTAATGCGTTTATGATATA